GCAAATGGAGGCCACATGTCGACGTGCCAGAATGCACATTGGCCTGGGCCCCTGCAGGACCATAACAGACAGAACCCCTCCTGACCTGTGCTCATTAAGCAAATCATATGAGTGCAAATAAAAGTTTGTTGTATTAAGCCATGGAGCTATTCCCTACATTAGTGTAACCACTCTAACTCAGTATACCAAGGGATGCCCACGTTGCTGGGAGTGCGTTTCAATCAGTGGTAACCTTACACTTGAGCGCTGGGGTCCATCTCCAACAGCCTCTCTTCACTTACCCCTATGCGCACTCTTAGTAAGGTTAGAGAGGCAAGAGGCGGGCAGAAGCAGAAGAGGCCAGGAGAAACCTAGCAGGACTAGAGATATTAAAGCGCCCCCATCCTGCCCTGCGCTTATCAGCACAGGACGCTAATTCTAGAGGCATATGCTCCTGCTAACGAACGATGTCATTTCATTTCCTCTTTGTATCTGTTCGGGTGTGCCTGGGCTTTCCCCACTCCGCCGCAGCTTCCCCGGGGCCACTTCGGGAGCACTGCCACCACTGTGGCCACCCAGTCAGTCTTCAGCAGGTGGGACCGAGTAAACACTAAATATAACAGTTGCCCTGACTATTCTGACTCAGCTGTCCATTGCTTAATGGAAAAATTTAAATCACTTAAACTAAATATAGGGTTTGAAAATATAGGGTGAAAAATCAACTCAGAGGCTTCAAATAGCAACTTTCATGCAAGAAAAAAAAGAGTTTAGCGTCATTTCAAGGACTTGTTTCCCAAAAATAGCTAGTAAGAACTTGGCGTACAGCCCAGCTGGTGCGGCTCAGTGGTTGAGCATCGACTGCCGCCACGGTGGCCACCCAGTCAGTCTTCAGCAGGTGGGACCGAGTAAACACTAAATATAACAGTTGCCCTGACTATTCTGACTCAGCTGTCCATTGCTAAATGGAAAAATTTTAAATCACTTATAAAACTAAATATAGGGTTTGAAAATATAGGGTGAAAAATCAACTCAGAGGCTTCAAATAGCAACTTTCATGCAAAAAAAAAAAGAGTTTAGCATCATTTCAAGGACTTGTTTCCCAAAAATAGCTAATAAGAACTTGGCATACAGCCCAGCTGGTGTGGCTCAGTGGTTGAGTGTTGGCTTATGAACCAGGAGGTCACAGTTCGATTCCCAGTCAGGGCACATGCCTGGGTTGCAGGCTCGATACCCCGTAGGGGAT